CCTCTAAAAAGCTTGGCGTGCTCAGCAGAGCGGGACAGTATTTCATGCCGGCACACCGCCTGCTACTTTACAAGGCCCAAGTTCGGCCTCACATGGAATACTGTTCCCATCTCTGGGCAGGGGCTCCCCAGTGCCAGCTCCTTCCACTTGACCGCATCCAACGCAGAGCGGCTCGAATTGTCGACGACCGAGCCCTTTCCGATCGGCTCGATTCATTGGCACTGCGAAGAGATGTTGCATCCCTTTGCATTTTCTTTCGCATCTACCATGGGGAGTGCTCTGAGGAATTGTTCGGATTAATCCCAGCCGCCAAATTTCACGAACGCACATCGCGGCAGAACTCCCGATACCATCCACACCATCTGGATGATTGGCGGTTCACCACTGTGCGATTTAGAAGATGTTTTCTTCCTCGCACGACCTCCTTGTGGAATCGATTACCATCAGCGATTTTTCCGGACCGATACGACTTAGGGACCTTCAAGAAAAGAGCGTACTCCTTTTTAAAAGGCCGGCAACGCATCTGCGATTCCCCTGGTGTTGCAGTTGTTCATGGGCGGCGGTAGTCACTTACCATCAGGTGAGCCGCATGCTCGTTTGCCCCCTCTCCTATAAAAAAAAATGTGATTCTTAATTAAGGTGGCGATTTTAAGTATTTGTAAACAAAATTGCAATCAGAACTAAACGAAATGCCCACTTAGTACCAAGTAGTTAAATTCACAATTAATATCGAAAATTTTCTAAGTGTTTGAATTTGATATACAAAATATAAAATGAAAAATCGGGCAAAGGTCCCCCGTCTGTTCACTTTTCTTAAAACTATTCCGTCTAAATTTTAACATGCAAATATTTATTTACTTATGAAACTTTTCAAGTCCAAGCAAGCAATCTTAAAATTTACTGTCCTTATTTTATTAAGTCCCAAGCTAAGGTCCTAAGACAAACTTCAAATGTATTCCAAGTCGATGAACTTTTTGCGCAAGAAACAAAATGTACTCACGATTTCACTGTAGATTACTGATTCGCTCACTTACTTCACAATGTGTTGATTGTAGTTGTACCTTGCTCTGTCTCAGGGCTGTGACGTCACGACTGGAACGCGTCACTACTAACGTCGCCAAATGCTCCGTTGACGTTGACCACACGACACTCATCGGCTGACTGAATACTGATAGGCGCGTCGTAAGTTCTCACTAGCACCATCTAGTTTATAAAATTAACACAGTTTATCTCGAATGTCGACGAGAAGTAGTGCTTTATCTAGTGGTCCGGGCCACTTTTATGTTTTCGCAAACCTAATACGATCTTTTCTGCGGCTTCTTCATTGAACTGGTGGAACCCGCTTCTGGGAAGCCAGTCAACCGATCGCAGTCGCACAAAATCCATAAAGAACACAAAGTGACGTCAACGTAAGGGCCACAGCATCTGAATTTTCCAAATGTCGATGGAATCCACAGGTTCGATCTTGTGTCTTCAAAGATTCAAAGAAACTGATTATCTCGAATGTCGACGAGAGCGTTCGAAGGACCAAAGAAACTGATTATCTCAAATGTCGACGAGAACGATTTACTTTATTACGTGGTAGAGTCATGCTGCAGCTATATTATGGTTGTAGCACGAATGGGTCGGCTTGACCGGGGAAGGACCACGCTCTCACAGAATACCAGCGTAAAATAGCGGCTTAACTCTGCTGTGTTTCGTATGGTGAGTATAGAGAACCGGAGACACTTTTTACTGGAAACGAGGCATTCCATCTTAGTCCTCACGGATGACAACGCATCTGCATTTTGATTCGTAATTGAAGATAGATGTAGATGTCTATGGGCCACAGCAACCACTTACCATCAGGTGGACTGTGTGCTCGTTTGTCACCTTATCCTATAAAAAAAAACGACTCAAAGGCTGGCTTTTCACTATGGGATATAATATATATTATATCCCGAAATATAAAATATATCCCGCGATTGGCTTTCACACTGTGAGATATATCTTTTCACCAGTGTGCGTTCGTCATTGGTCATTGGATTACCCCCTTAACCTCGTATACCGTTCTGCGGGGGCGCGGAACGGTATGCGGGGTACAGGGGGCGAAATATAATATGAAAATATCGTTCGGACGATCGAAAAAATATTTATAGTTTGAGATGTAATATATATTATAGCTCAGTGTAAACGGTTTCATATGAAATGTATGGTGAGCGATATTAATTTATATCTCGAGATGTAATATATATTTTTACTGCCTCAAATATGTGCTTTAAAAATATATTAAGAATAAATTACAGGTATTACAAATTTAAAATTTTATTTGTGCAAACGTCTCTTATACTGTTTAATACTTATATTTTTTTTTGTGATAGTAATTTTTTCTCTTCAACTCGTTACTTATTACTTATTGTTTATACTAATATGTGGTATACGGTGTTGAATGTACATATATTATACTCTTTTTTGATAATACTTTTATAAATACCTTTGTACATTTGTTTGTATATCTTAATAACAAAAAAAAAATAAAAAAAAAATTATATCCCATAGTGAAAAGCGGGCTAAAGGACCAAAGAAACTAGTGCACAGACTAATATGATGTGTGTCTACAGTTTACAAGATGAGTACAAAACGAGATGTAAGGGAAAGTTAATGTACGAAACAAACCCAATAAAAGTCGGTCTATCACTAATTTTATTGTAAAGGAATATACTTTATATAATTATATGATTATTATAAAAAATGATGTATACGCAGAAGTACGGAAGTTATACATGTGGGCATAATTGACAAATAATATTGATTCTAAGTGATCTACTTGTGTGTATAACTCCTCATTTGTTTTACTGTAAGCCTGAAATGGGTTGTCCATTTTTCTTCCTAGTTTGGTAGCTTCCAATGGATTCTGTGAGCGTCAAGTATTTCATTATTTATAATATAAAATATTATAGGTACTGGATTCTCTGGTACTCCTTTTTGTTTAAATGCTTTGTAGCCATTGCTAGGAATAAGAAAGTAACGTTGAATTGAAGCTGAGAAATGATCGCTTAAAACACAAACATCCAAGTGAAGAATCTTAATAAAAAAAGGTTGAAATGAAGTGTTGCCAGAACATGTAACAAGTCCTACATTTTTTTTATCAACTTGAATAAAACAGATAATTAAAAAAAAATATACCTAATCAGCATCAAAACTAGTTTGACATAATTTTGTTAATATGATGACTGTATGAATGACTACACTTTAATTATTTACCTACATTTTGTGTTAGCTTTGCAGCACTCATGGTCCTGCGGTGACCATGAGTGCTGCAAAGCTAACAAAAATTTGAAGATTTGAAGTGATCGACGTCTCGATGTCAAAGTTAACCCTAAGTATCTTCAGCTTTTTAATTATTACTTTCGGGCCAATCTATGCACAATGAGCTTACTGTGTCTTGGGAGTCTTGAAGTAGTATACATGGTTTTAGTTTTCTCAAGCAGGTGTTAGTAGTACCCATCCTGCCTTACTATAAAAAATTAACATTATTTTTAATGTTGTTATTCATATTTCAATTGCTTTTACTCATTTAAGTATTGTCACGTAAATTACATGGTGGAAACATTAGAATGTAGTTGTTTAAAGATTCATTCAAATCATCAAACGTCTTTAATTTCGGTTTTATTGAAAAGTAACTGAACTTTTAAATATGTTATGTTAGCTCAATTCAAAAATTATGATATGTAATTTTTAGTGAAAATGTAACTTCAAACATGTCGATGTAACATTTAGTAGGGATGGGCAAGGGAAAAAATATATCGATATATATCGAATCTGTATTTTAAACAGTATCGATATATATCGCGTGATAAATATCGATATATCGTCAACATTTGCATGATGTAAAGATAAGGTCAAAAATTTTATTTACCGGACGATTGGACGACGAAAAAAACGATACAAGAATTAAAAAATTTTTTTTATAGGATAAGGGTGACAAACGAGCACACAGTCTACCCGATGGTAAGTGCTTACTGCGGCCCATAGACATCTACATCTGTCCTCTATTGCAAATCAAAATGCAGATGCGTTGTCACCCGTGAGGACTAAGATGGAATGCCTCATTTCCACTAAAAAAGGGCCTCCGGCCACCTGCACTCACCAACCGAAACGCAGAGGTAAACCTCTACTTCACGCTGGTATTCTGTGACGTCGTGGTACCACCCCGGTTCGAGCCGGCCCATCCGTGCGACAGCAAAAGCCGCCACGTGGCTCTACCACTGTTGGAAAAAATATATCGAAATTTATACGAATTCGATGCTCTAAAATAAATATCGATATATCGTAATATCGCGATTTTAAATATCGACGATATATATCGATATTTTTATTTAAAAATATTGATATTTCGATATTTTTTGCCCAATCCTAACATTTAGTCGAGCCACGCTGGCAACACTCTAATGGAATCAAATCAAATTTTTGAGAGTTTTGGCGGGAAATTGACCGGCGGCGGTTTGCTGCTCCTGTATTATTGTTTAAATAATGGTTTGAAGTGTACTTTGATATGTAAAAGTGTTGCGATTTTGTGTATTAAGTGTCTACGCATGTGAACTATTAGTGGAAACAGTGAAACAAGTGCTCTGATGGTGATGGATTCTCAAGATAAGCTGTTTGTTTGCATAGGCACCTTTAGATACCATCGCCAACTATCAGCTGTCTGCTGGATCAAGTTGCCGCCAAAATCTCCCAAGAACTGCACAATGTGACGCATCAACATATTGTGAAGCAGTATACTATGAAGGAGTGGGGAAATTACAATAAACCGAACAAAAATACTTAAGACTTGGCCTAAAGGTCTAGATACCAGGCCATAAACTCCAAAAAAAAATCAAATTTTATGCCAGGCCATAAACTCCAAAAAAAAAAAAACAAATCAAATTTTAAACGTTACGCGACCGGCTATCATCAACGATAACGATTGTTAAATTGAAAACGTTAACTTTAATACTTTATAAACTTGTTAGCTTTAGATGAAAACATCAACAATGAGTCCTCCACTTCATGTAGAAGTAGTTCAAAAGAAAGAGAGTTTTATGAATAAAAATATTTTAAAAGAATTAGTGCATAATTTTTTAGCAAATTTCACTACTTTGACTCCTGGTGCAATAATAAACAACAGTGATCTAGAGGAAAATGTACAACTTTTTGAACATGTGCAATCTATTACATTTTGTGACGTAGAACATGATTCTGAAGTGGTTACAAGTGCAACTGAACTCGTTTACCATGTGTACACACTGGACTCATTCGGCGCTGAAACCGACACTATGAGTGATAATTCTTCTGGTGAGGAGGTCTCCGTAGCCGATGTATGGGCTCTTCCGGCGGAAGAATTCCACGGTTTATGGGAAACTCTCATATACGACTCCAAGCTAAAGGAAGATACGCTGCGATTCGTAGAAACGGCTTTCGATTTCGCCGATCGCGGCGTCGACCCTAACATCGTCAGCTGGAATCGCGTAGTACTGTTACACGGCCCGCCCGGTACGGGCAAAACTAGCCTATGTCGTGCGCTATCTCAGAAGCTGGCTATCCGTCTCTCGGATAGGTTTCCTCGGGCACGTCTGCTCGAGATCAACGCGCACGGCCTCTTTTCCAAATGGTTTTCGGAGAGCGGTAAGCTTGTGGCAAAGCTTTTCGAGCGTATACGAGAGATACTCGAGGATCGACGCCTGCTCGCGTGTATTCTCGTGGACGAGGTGGAGTCGTTGACGCACGCTCGGCGCGCGGCGCTCGCCGGCCTGGAGCCGTCGGACTCGATCCGCGCAGTGAACGCAATCCTGACGCAGCTGGATCGACTCAAGCGGCATCCTAACGCGCTCGTGCTGACCACGTCGAACGTGACGGGGGCCATCGACGTGGCGTTCGTGGACCGCGCGGACATCAAGCGACTGGTGGGGCCGCCGTCGGAGCGCGCGGCGTACGAGATCCTGCGCGGTTGCTGCGGCGAGCTGATGGCGCGCGGGGTGGTGGCGCCGCGCGAGCAGCTGTTCCCGCTGCGCGTGCTGGAGGCGGCGCGCTTCGCCGAGAGCGACGGCTCGCGCGCCAGCTTGCGGCTGCGCGAGGTGGCGCGCGGCGCCGCGGCGGCCGCCAGCTCTGCGCGTGCGCTGCGTCGCCTGCCCTTCCTCGCGCGGGCGCTGCACTCCAGCTGCGAGGGCCCGCCTTCGCTACCGCGCTTCATTGATGCACTACATGCTGCCCTCACGCAGCAACTGCATGACGCGCGGGATCTTTGCAACGACCCTGGCCCCACCTCACCACTCTCGTGAGCATAATTACCTCCATTCCTCCCTTGACTTGTTAACGCTGTGATGATATTTTCTCGTTGTACTTTAATTTATAATGTAACACTTAAGTTTTAAATAAATTTTGTACAAAGAATGTAATTAATTATAATTATTTAAGATGAGTACATTAAAAATGATACAAATTTCAAATTTAAGAATTTTATTTTTACTTAAAATTACAATCAGTGGTCAATTGTTATAAACAATGGTCATCACTTGCACATTTTTATTGTTTCTTAAAGTAATGATGTGAATTACAATATAACATCTTGTCATTAGAGACAAACAAAACTTAAAATTATACATTTCTACATGGCTAAACATTAACATTCTTAAAACAGCACTCCGTTGATCTTATTACAAAACATGTTTTATTGATAATCTTGTGTTCAAATAAGTTTTAGTCCCAAAAGAAGATCCTTAGGCATGGCTCCGCAGTCTTCACAAATTACATACTATAAATTTTAGTTTGAATAATTTCCGATTTTTTTAACGCAAGCCTGTGTGTGACTAATTATAAACTACTTTTTGTATTAAAACAGTATGTAATTAAATGTGTAGCCATTAATGTCCTTTAACTTTGGTTTTATAAAGTAAGGTTTCTGTTATTGGAAACTGTTATGACATTTGTTTATTGACTATTTCAGGCAATGTATAATATTTAAGCTAAAATTATACAGTATATTCATTATGGTCAGTTTTTTTTTCAATTATTAACAATAAAGTAGTAATTCAATTTGTTTTATGAAATTAAAAATTTTATTAGCTTTGAATATGTATTGTACTGTTATTATTTAGTGCAGCAGGTAATATGCCATAAAGTCATAATTGTAATTGAAACAATATAACATCTTGTCATTAGAGACAAACAAAACTTAAAATTATACATTTCTACATGGCTAAACATTAACATTCTTAAAACAGCACTCCCTTGATCTTATTACAAAACATGTTTCATGCGTCATGAAATTTAAGTCTTATATGGCCACATACTCAAATGCTACTCAATGGTATAACAGTCACTATAATTTAAAGTGATAGAGACAGCATGTTCTTCTTCTTCTTTCTTAGTTTTATGGCCCCTCTTTTTAGAATTCTGCCAATGTCAAGTCAGTCATGGGAGTGACAAGAGAGTGTTTACAATAGTTACAAGTTATTATTGTTTGTGTAGGTCTTCACAATCTACAACAAAAGACGCCACAAGTTTATAACCATCACCATGTTAGTAATCTTACAACTTAATTTTATTAGTTCTAATATAATCACACAAAATATTTACAAAGGGAGTAAACACAAGGGACAGTAAGTATGAGAAATTAGTAGGACGAGGGATGTAGTTAGGGAGTATATCATAAAAGGAGAAGGAGACCTTGGGGCACAGAAAAAACAGGTGGTTAACTGTTCCTTCACCTAACCCACATTCACAGATTGACGTATCCCTAATCCTTAATTTAGCTAGGTGTACAGGTGTGCAGGTGTGACCGAATCGGAGACGGCAAACAGTTGAGGTAATCACTTTACTAAAGTGACGGGTTTTAAAGAACCAAGGTTTTAGGGGGATATTATTTTGGACATTAGCATAATTTTTACATTTTATAAGTTTTGACTGATGCCAAATGGTTTGCCATGAGGAGTGTAAACTTAAGCTAGCCTTCGACAGGAGGTCATATGAGTAAATATTGTGTTTGGGTAGTAATCCGAATTTAGCTGCTTCCTTAGCTATCCGATCAGCAACCTCGTTGCCCTGAATCCCACAGTGAGCAGGTATCCACGCCAAGACAATCCTTAGTCCCTTTTTATGACATTTGAATAGAGACTCTCTGATATTTAAAATTAATGGGTATTTTACTTTTAATTGAAATGGGCTGGAAGCAATACTTTGTAAGCAGCTAAGGGAATCTGATAATATGAGAGTTTTTTTCAGGCTGTAAGATTCAGCATACAAAACTGCCTCTAATATAGTGTTACTTAATGGCATCTTAAAATTCAGTGAAGTTTGAGTATTTGGGCAATTGTTTCAAATTTTACATTACAATAAGAATATTTAGAACTTCATAGATTACGATAGGGTAATAAGTGAGAGGAGAGGGCAGCGAGGAGTGAGTGTGAGTGAGTTGGGTGTGCAGTGTGCAGTGTGCAGTGTGTAGTGAGATGTGTCAGCGGCCGATGATCCAGAGCATGTTGAGGGCGGCGGGGCCGAGGTGCGTGCGCGCGAGGGCGGGCGGGCGGCGGCGCGCGGCGGCGGCCAGCAGCAGCAGCAGCGCGTGCAGCAGGTTGGCGCGGCCGCGCGGCACGCCCACCAGCTCGCCGCCCAGCGCCAGCGCGAACTGCGGCGGCCGCGAGCTCACTCGGTGCAGCGCCAGCGCGCCTACGGCCCCGCCCGCCCCGCCCGCGCTCAGGTACTGCGAGCTGAACGGCCGCGGGTTGCCGCTCTGCACCATCTGCGCACACACACAACTTAGCCCACTCCGTTGTAAAAGACCGGCACCGCCACTGTCGTGTATGAAGCGTGCGTATGCGCACGCTTGACCGAGTTATGGCATCATTCTGTGGAGCAACAGCACGGATGCAGCCTCTCTATTCACCCTTCAAAAGAAATTAATCCGGATTATAGCAAATATAGATCACACTAATAGCTGCAGACAGTTCTTTCTTAAATATAAAATATTAACTTTTCCCGGTTTATATATATTCGAGATGTGTAAATTTGTTCGAAAAAATAAGCAATTTTATACAAAACGTGAAGATTTACCATGCAAATACACGTTAAGACACAGTTTACAGTTGATGTTCTGCGTGCGCTGGCGCACCTTCCTTCGAAGCGTTCAGTAGGACCAGATGGCATACCAGCCTTCGTATTTAGGGATTGTAGGACAGTACTAGTGAAACCATTGTTACGCATTTTCAATGTCTGTATTGAAAGCGCTACGTTTCCTGATCAACGGAAACTCACTAGAATTGCGCCTGTACCGAAAGGTAGTGGGGGATTGACGCCTAGTGACTTCAGACCCGTGGCAGTCTTAAGCACTCCAGCGAAAGTGTTCGAGACGGCCATTTACAACTGCCTGTACCCACAGATTAGTGCACAGTTGTGTGAAGCGCAGCACGGCTTCCGCCCTGGGCGGGGGACAACTGGGAACTTACTGGAGCTGATGACGCATCTAGTACCCGCGGTTGATGCAGGCCTGCAAGTAGACGTAGCCTACTTCGACTTTAGAAAGGCTTTCGATACGGTCGACAATGATGTTCTACTTTGTAAGTTGGCTTGTGTGGGCTGCACACCTCGCACGCTATCATTTTTCACCAGTTACCTGCGAGACCGGCATCAGTTTGATTGCAATGGGCACTTCTCGACCCTACCCTACTAGATCTGGTGATAGTGAAGGCAGCAATCTAGGACCTTTGCTGTTCATTTTAATGATAAATGATTTGCCCAGTGTAGTAAATTTTTGTACTTCATTACTGTTTGCCGATGATCTAAAATTAGTTTTAAAATTTAGAGATAAATATAATTGTGACTCTTTACAGCATGATATTGATAAAGTTTTATAATGGAGCATAGATAATAAACTTTTTTTTTAATGTCTCTAAATGCTCAGTGCTGTCCTTTTGCCGCTCACGCGCCCCAATTCATCACCCATACATGATGGACGGGAAGATGCTTCATAGAGTAACAGAGGTTAGAGATCTAGGTGTACATTTCACTGCAGAATTAAACTTTAGATTACATGTAAGTAATGTTTGTATAAAGGCATACCTCGGATTGATAATGCGTCTTGCAAATAATTTCACTAATGTCGGGGCTCTGAGAGCGCTATATGATGCACTCGTAAGGAGCCACTTAAGAGTGTAACGCCGTCATTTGGGCTCCTCATGAAGCCAAATACAAATATATGTTAGAGCAGATCCAAAATAAATTTATTAGATTCTTATACTTAAAGCAATTCGGAGTGTACCCGGGATATCCCTTGTTGTATCCTACTCTATTTTTACTCGGTATGGTAGGGTACTACAAGCTCGAAGTCAGAAGACAAGTCACTCTCGTTGTGTACGTGTTGAAGGTGATCAGGGGTGGGATACACTGCGAGAGTGTTGGAGATGGTGTGACTGAATGCACCTGACGGAAGCGCGGGGCGTCGTTACTGGCAGTGCCGCGCGCACGGCACTGATGCAGCAAGCACCGTTCAAGCGCGCGCACAGTATGAACACCATGTCGGAGCGAACTGATTTATTTTCATGTTCGCTGAGTGAGCTCAGTAAAATGGCATATCATACTGTATCGTTGGCTACACTGTCGAATTAGGGTACTCACCCTGTAATGATTGTGTATGTTGTATGTGTGTGTAAATAAATAAATAAAAAATATTAAAAAATGAAAATAATGACATCATATTTACAAAAAAATTAAAACAGTACCTAACTAATAAATATTACTATAGTACTAATGAATATTTTACAAATAATACTTATATAGGCTTTACAAAATGCTTAATAATTTAAATTGAATTCTATCTCAATAAATCACAATGACATTCTTATAAGTAGTTAAATACGCTTCCTCTCTCCTAGCCTCTAAATTGCATGCAACATCTTGTGTACATTATGGTTTAGCAATAACTGTTTGAGTTGAGTTTACATCTATTCCAGTTATTTTACATTGGCTTAGCGAGCTTTTTTATCAGGGAGCAAAGTACGGCACTATTAACTCGCACAAATCAGCGATAAAACTTTTAATGTCAAACAGTCTTGAAGACGATAGAATTAAGAGATTTATGAATGGAGTATTCAGGTTACGACCACCTAAATCTAAATATGAGTTATTTTGGGACCCTAATATAGTTTTAAATTATCTTGAACAGTTTTGGCCAATGATTGATTGACACTAGAAGTATTATCTAAGAAGACAGTCACATTATTGTCGTTAGTAACGGCACATAGAGTTCAGACTCTTTCCCTAATAAAAAATAGCCAATGTTTATTGTCGAAAATAGTAATGTAGTAATTAAAATTTTTGATTTAATTAAGACTTCTAGACTAAACGTAAATCAACCTGTGTTAAAGATCCCTTCTTTCACTCCTAAACCAGGAATCTGTCCGGCGTCTTGTTTAATTATGTGCATAAATAGAACTAACCCTTTATGAATTAACAATCAAGATTCACTATTTATCCGTTTCAAAAAAACACACCTCGCGGTCATTGGATAAAATCAACGTTATCTAAAAGTGGCATCGACACATCAATCTTTAAGGCAAACAGCTCTCGTTATGCGTCTACTTCGTCTGCAAATAGATTAGGTGTGAATATCGATGTAATTAGAAAAGCCGCCGGATGGATTGAAACTTTAGCTTTTTTGCTAAATACTATAACAACGACACAGTAGTTGATCAAAACTCCTTTGCGCGATCAATACTGTCAAATGATAGTATCAAAACGAATACTGATAAAAATGAGTACCTATTGTTTCTATGTAATTATAATCTATAAAAATTATTATTTCTACATTAAGACTAAACACCTACAATAAGTTAACATAAATCGCTAGAATGAAGCTGTGAAGCATAATTAATGATCAAACGAACTTACCAAGTGCAGTTCGATCCTAATTATGCGAAAAACTTCATTCTAGCGATTTAGGAGAGCCCTCCCTTATTTTTTTAATATTGTGTTTTCTCTATCGGTTAATACAAACCCGTAAAAATAAAACATAAGTCTTGTATTTTCCTAAAATGGTAAAATAAACACGAATTAATCAGCAGCAATTCTATTTGTATTTCTTTAAACTAATGAATGGATTATTGCGGGATATGCAGGAGCGAGTGGCGAGTGTCAGTGTTGCCATTAAATAATTTTTTTCCTCCCTTTAAATACCGTGCGATGCTGGAAGCTTGGAAGTGGAGCTACAATAAGTTAAAATAAATCGCTAGAGTGAATTTTTACGTGGTAGAGCCATGCTGCAGCTATATTAGTAATATAGTTGTAGCACGAATAGGTCGGCTCGACCGGGGAAGGACCACGCTCTCACAGAATACCAGCGTAAAATAGCAGCTTAACACTGCTGTGTTCCGTACGGTGTAGAGAACCGGAGACCATCATTTCATCTTAGTCCTCACGGACGACAACGCATCCGCATTTTGATTCTTTATTGAGGATGGGTGTGGATGTCTATGGGTCACAGCAACCACTTACCAGCAGCTCGGCTAGCATCGGCGGAGGATAAAAATTTTATCCCCCGATTATATCCACTGACAAGAGATAAAATTATCTTATGTCAAACGTGGAGAAGTATATCCCCGTTTAACATAACGAGTAGACATATATCCCCCGTCCGTAGCATGGAGCCAAATGAAAGATAAAAAATTATGCTTTTTTGATATTTGAAAGGGACAATTTTATCCTAGTTCATTGGACGTGGGTTGAAGTTTATATTCATACAAAAAAATCTATCTAAGTCTATTTCCCAATTTATCTGCTGTGGATATTATATCCACCGGTGTGCCCATGCTCTAAGGGTGGATAAAACTATGCAAGGGGATAAACATTTTCTCCTTTCCCCGGAGATAAAATTGTCCCCCGCCTATGCTAGCCGGGCAGGTGTACTGTGTGCTAGTTTGTCACCCTATCCTATAAAAAAAATGAAGCTGTTTGCATAATTAGGATCGAATTGCACTTGGTAAGTTCGTTTGATCATTAATTTATTCTTGTTTAACTCTTTGCTGATGACAAAATGTTAATATGACTGTAAAAGAATTGCAGTGAATAAGTTGTGTTTTAAATTAAGTTCTACGTGGAATAAGTGCTCGCTTCTTGTCACTCTTATTTTATAAAATAAAAAATCGGGGTGTGGTTATGTCGTGGACACAGTCGTGTGTTAATACGTAAATAGGTGTACGTAACGAAACGACCTTATAAATGGAGGCACTTCGCCTTCCGCTTAATGCGATACTCACAGTATTCATTCAACGCAACGAATTCTATGATCCCTTAGTTATCGAGTGGTATAGTTAATTTTTTTATGTACATGATAGATAATATGTAGCTACAACACCGAACGATCTCTATTCCCGATGATTTCTATTATTTACGCGAACACTATACATTGAATATAACTATTTTTTAGGATTTTATCGCGCTTAAATTTTGCGAGTTAAAAATAATTTAAATTAAACGCGACGAAAATCTATAAAAGACTTATTTACGTCAAAAATAAACAATAAAAATAACAAACTAAAAACATGAACCGACCTGTCCATCGAGGTACGTAGCGAAGAGGTGTAGGATAATATCGGCATCCGTGGGCTGGGTATGATCCCAGTCGGAGCCTCCAGCGTCCCAGCGGTAGTTGCTGAGGCAGGGAGCTCTCGCCAGCTCTCGGATACGGCGCACGACGTAGCGTTGGTCGGGGAAGGGCTCCAAATACGGCAGTAATGCAGCCAGCGAGCCCAGCGGCAGCGCGGCCGCCATCTGGCGCAGGCGCTCCACGCTGGCCAGCCCGGGCCGCGCCTCGCCCAGCCCCAGCCGCACCAGCTCAGCATCCACTTCGTCCAGCGCACGCACCAGACGCTCGAGGATCGTGATGTGGATCCACTGCAATGTAATTGGCCATTTAGCGACTAAGGACGGCTCCGTGGCAGTTCGAATCCCGCACGGAACAAGTATTTGTATGACCTACAAATAATTATTCTATATGCCACAGAACAAGTTTATTAGCTAGATTAGATATACAATATGTAACAAAAACCCGTTAAGTACGTTATCAGGATCATTATTCAAACGTATAGAAATAAGGTTTTTTTTTTAAACTCGAACAATATTATTTTTTTGTTTTATTTAAAAAAATAATTGTATGCAAATTGTATGTCTTTTTTATAGGATAGCATGACAAACGAGCACACAGTCCACCTTAAGTGGTTGTTTTGGCCCATAGACATCTACATCTATCCTCGTTTGCGAATCAAAATGCAGATGCGTTGTCATCCGTAAGGACTAAGATGGAATGCCTCATTTCCAATAAAAAGGGTCTCCGGTTCTCTACACTCATCATACGAAACACAGCAGTGTTAAGCTGCTATTTTACGCTGGTATTCTGTGAGAGCGTGGTCCTTCCCCGGTCGAGCCGACCCATTCGTGCTACAACTATACTATTAATATAACTGCAGGATGGCTCTACCACGTATGATATTCGTGTTCTTCTCAGCGAAACCTATCATTTGATATCCATTCATGGGGGTAAATAAAAAAAACATAGTCCGCTATCTTTGGAAATCGACCATATATTATTTAGAGTGAAAACCATACAGTGTCAGCCTCTTCATGTGCCCTGGTTCATGAACACTAGATTAAGTAGGAAATTAGTTACTACTGCTCATAGACTCAGATCTGGACACGTTCCATGTAAGAAATTTGTATTTCTGATGAGAAAAACAACTTCGCCCAACTGTGAAGATTGTGGAGTTATAGAAGACCTATACCATATATTGATGGAATGTGTTCGATTTGATTCTATTAGAAGTAATTTCATAAGGGTCTTTGAACAGAACCGACGTAGGCACATTCCATAATATTCTATCCCAACCAAATGGCGACGATGCGAAAGTTCTGTTCGAATCCATGGCCCGCGTAGCATAATAAGTATTAACTAACGTTATATGAGTAACTCATGTATGTTAGGGTATGATGGGACTGACATACGCTAAGCGGTAAATGTCCCTTAAATTATAATAGAATAAAAAAAAACATGGCTCTACCACGTGTAAAAATGTGGTTTTATTTCCTCTGCATTGTCTGAGGAGTAAGAGGATTGTCAAAAACCCCGCTGTACTTAGCTTTAGCATCTGCTAGTGTCAGTAAGAGGTAATAAAACCACATAAAATTAATTTCTTTTTAAATAAAAATAAAAAAATATGGTCAAGTATTTAAAAAAAAGTTATTTCTATAGGTTTGAATACTGATCCTGATAACGTACTTAACGGGAACCACAGGGTTTTTGTTACATGTTGTATAGGGACCCAGCGATAAGTCAAGCATTATTGCGAAAAAAAATATCTGAAAAACTGATGTACTGAAAAACTGTGATATATTTAGTTCTATTACCGTCCAAAAGCAAATTAATTCAATTAGTCATATTTTAACAAATGCCGATTAAGTCTCAAAATCAACGAAATATCATCAGCAAATAAACCTAAGAACAGAAAGGGGCCAAGAATTGAGCCCTGAGGAACACCTATAGATATTAACGACCAGGAAGAACTACTGCCATTGGCAACAACTATTTGCGTTGTATTATTTAAATATGAGATGAGATAATAAGTTTAAGCTTTATGTTTCTTTAAATTATAGTGATGTAGCTTCCTCATTAATGTTTCACTTTGAACACGGTCCTGCTTGGGATCCTGTATACTGGAAGATTCAAGTAAGCTGAATCTGCGTAGATCGGACCAAAAGTAATAATTAAAAAGCTGAAGGTACTCCGGGTTAACTTTGACATCGGGACGTCAATCACCTCAGTCCCCCTGAGACCATGCTGCTACAAAGAACTCCGAAACTTCGGGAATTAAAAATAAGTTAATTAAACGCAATAAATTTCAAAAAAATAGTTATAATTCAATGATGGAAGCTTTTTCTCTAAATTATTTCTAAACCTCTCCTAGCGATGTTCATTTATTAGAACAAACACTACTTTTTTTTTTGTATATGTAAGGCAATGATGATGAATGACTTATATTTAATTCAGGAGATTTATGTATTGAGAGTTTTATGTATTGTAAACTAGCTGTTCCCCGCGACTTCGCTCGTGTGGAGTTATTTTTCACGGAACCCTAAAATAAAAGCAGCCAAAGTTACTCCTTATAACATCAGCTATCTGCCAGTGTGTATTGTATGGGAATATAGAAGTGTTATTTTTAGACTTTTTCATGCAATTTTTTAATTTTTTCTCTCCGTAAGAACCATCTTCGTACTTCAAGGAATATTATAAAAAAAGAATTATCGAAATCCGTTTAGCTGCTCTCGAGATTTGCGATTAGCAACACATTCAGCGATTCATTTTTATATTATAGATATGTCGGAGCGTCTATAAAATACCCGGTTGGAACGAGGTAGAATGGAGGGTATATCGAGAAACCCCCTCTTGTGTCGGTAGTATAAAGTTCACTGTAGGTGCCGTGCGCGAGAGATTCCGCCTAAGTCATTCAACGAGGGTGGTCATTCTACTAGTTCTAAGATAGTGTCGTGGTTTTGTTCGTTGTTGTAATTCTTCTAGTACAGGCAAGGAGAATTGGTGTTGCTGAGAGGCCGCCCTGTGTTACATTGAGATAAGTAGTGTTGCTGTCGGTTTACATATTTTGGTGTTATCATGTAATTACGTACCTCACGTTACACTGGTGTGTAATTGTGGCGGAGACGTGTTACGGTGTGGTCGAACTGTAATTTCACTATACTGAATGTATAGTACGTTACGTTGTCTTATTACTGATAATGATTAAACTGCGTAAGCAAGAGAGCAAGTTGAACATCCGCTCTCACACTTTTATTATTTTTAACAGTTAACGCTATCCTGATGTTTTCCCGAGATTAAAATTGGGATCTCCTGTTGAAAATTCTCCGACATCAGAAGTGGGATCTCCTGTTGTCATTTCCGATATCAGAAGTGGGATAAAGTCCCTGTTACTGTCCACCTATAACATTTGAATAGTGTGAGGGTTATTATGTTGTCGTATTTACGACAGTGACGTATCATTAAAGTAAAAGTTAAAAGTGAAATGTTTTAAGCCAAAAGTTAAATCTTTTTGTTCGATTTATAATAAAGAGTACCCTCAAGTACTTTCATTATTTCTTAACGTATCCAAATATGATAACAAATGTCGAAAGAAATGTTGGAGGTATTCTAAATGAGTTATAGTTTGCATTCAGTGGAAGTTTAACTTGCTTGGGTTACGTTATAATTTGATACACGAGGTGTGATTTACATGGGCTAGTTTTAAAATTCAAAATGTTTAAACGATGTACCGAAAAAAAAAGTTTAACTTTAATGGGCTATTAATTAAAAACACTAAGTTGTACTTCTGTGTTCTAATGTGTTGATAAGTGTTACAGTTTACTGCGAGTATTACGTAGTCGATAAAATTGGGATTTGATGTTGAGGGTCTAGTGGAGAGCGTGGAGCTGTAGCGGTCGCTCTTGAGTGGAACTATGCTGTCGGCTTATGACGCCGCGGACACATTATTTGCCGCTGTTACCGATCACCATTTGAAAAAAAAAGTTCCTACTGAACTTTTTAATGTTTTCTTTTGTGTTACAGTAGCACGTGTGATGTGACTACATGTGCGCGAGTTTGAGGTGAGTGTGTGTGCCTTGCTGGTCGGAACGGCCTGCCGGGTCCAGCTATAACATGGCCTGGTTTCGGCAGACGCGTATACGCAGGCGCCGTCCCGGCCGTGCCTCGGAAGTCTTACATTATGTGTGCGCCGAAGTCGTACACTGTGTGCGCGGAAGTCTTATACTCTGTATGCGCGGAAGTCGTGTTCTCTGAACATGCGTCAGGATCTGTCCTGGCAGGCGCTATCCTGGTACACGTTCTTAACGTGGTTCACGTGGTTAACGTGGGATCTCGCAAGATCAAGTACGAGTATGTGTAAGATACTTCGTATGGAGATGTATGCATACTTGTGAAAGCGAAGTGCTTTATTATAGTTCACGGTATGAGAGCGTATTTCTGTTTGAGGGCCTCGTATGTATGATGGATGAGAGAATAGGCAACTGTGTATGTTGTCCTGATAATTAACAACTTGTTTTTCACGCAGATCACGATGACTGCAACCTGGACGACGCCTGTGAACCCTCAGGTGCTCCTGCTGTTCCCGTTGACGCTTTGGAGTGCGTGGTACGGTGCAGCGTCTCGCTGGCGCTGGTGAGATGCGACGGCTCGCTGTGCGAGTGCGGCACGCCCTGTGCTGTTGTTTTGACCATGTGAGCTTGCTTCATGGCAGCTAACTATGGCGTGTGCTGGTTTGTTTTAATAGCCACGTGCGCTTGCCTTACGCCTGCCGCAGAGGCGAGCAGTGAGCGACGTGTTGATGTTTGCTATGTGAGCAATCACAGCGGTGTGCTGATGAATACTGGTGAGTCGTACCCATTTTATTACGATTTTGGTGCCGAATGAGAGAGCCTCATCAAAGATTGTGTTGCGCCAAAATTTAGTGGCAAAAGTGAAAATAATATTGTAAATTAAACCGAAATCGGTCATGTTAGTGTGCAAAGTATCCTTTCACCCCCATGATCATCTTAGGAAGATCCCCGATCACTAAGTTCCTCGAGAGTTAGATGTCATAGTTGATGACAGTGGTAGTGAGACTAAATTTGATTAAGAATGCTTGTATACTCATACTCAAAACTTTAGACCGCACCTCATGAGTAACATGTGGCGATGGGTCTGTAGGAAATCGTTGGTGCGATTTCTGTCTGTGTTGGTGCATATTTGGCGGCAGATATGTAGCGAATCGTTGGTGCGATTCTGGCATTTGTGGCGGCAGATGTGTTGTAGCATATTTGGCGGTGGATATGTGGAGAATCGTTGGTGCGATTCTGGCATATGTAACGGCAGATATGTAAAGAATCGTTGGTGCGATTCTGGCCTGTGTTGGTGCACAGAGCCCCTTGTGTATTGTAGCATATATGACGGCAGATGTGTGGAGAATCGTTGGTGCGATTCTGGCATATGTGACGGCGGATATGTAAAGGATCGTTGGTGCGATTCTGGTCTGTGTTGGTGCACAGATTTCAATGAAAGTTTCACGAGTTGAATATGCATTGCTTATGAATTGTAAAGAGTAAAGAATTGTTAAAATTACTGTGTTGGAACTTGTTGATCGGACCTTCCACGATAAATCTTGTTGTGCAGGAAGAACTGTGTAAGAAGCCTTAATACAAGGCATTGTCAATTATGACAGTTGACTATTGTACTTAGACTTAGGAGAAGTAAAGTACCATTTGGAATCGACCTTGTTTCCATTGGCAGAATAGCCGAGCTAGATTAATCACTGAGCATATTTTGTTTCCAGGCACTGCAACCGAGGACGGATGCTAGTCAGGAATGGCCGTGTCATGAATTGATGGCGCCATAGTGGAAAAAGCAGCGCCATCTAACAATTAGTTTTCCGAACTATAATATGCACCTGCTCGTGTGAGGACTGACGAGCGGACGAATTAGTGACTAAATAGTGCTTGTTACAGGAATGCATTAAGACACACGCCCGAGGACGGTCGTACGTCAGGACGGCCGTGTCGGAGCGTCTATAAAATACCCGGTTGGAACGAGGTAGAATGGAGGGTATATCGAGAAACCCCCTCTTGTGTCGGTAGTATAAAGTTCACTGTAGGTGCCGTGCGCGAGAGATTCCGCCTAAGTCATTCAACGAGGGTGGTCATTCTACTAGTTCTAAGATAGTGTCGTGGTTTTGTTCGTTGTTGTAATTCTTCTAGTACAGGCAAGGAGAATTGGTGTTGCTGAGAGGCCGCCCTGTGTTACATTGAGATAAGTAGTGTTGCTGTCGGTTTACATATTTTGGTGTTATCATGTAATTACGTACCTCACGTTACACTGGTGTGTAATTGTGGCGGAGACGTGTTACGGTGTGGTCGAACTGTAATTTCACTATACTGAATGTATAGTACGTTACGTTGTCTTATTACTGATAATGATTAAACTGCGTAAGCAAGAGAGCAAGTTGAACATCCGCTCTCACACTTTTATTATTTTTAACAGTTAACGCTATCCTGATGTTTTCCCGAGATTAAAATTGGGATCTCCTGTTGAAAATTCTCCGACATCAGAAGTGGGATCTCCTGTTGTCATTTCCGATAGATAGAAGAAGATGCAATACTCACCAGTCTTAAATTAAAGTTCCACTGCGTAAGTTTTTGCGGGTCGATGTCGAGCTGCCAGTAAATTTGAGGCGATCCCTCCGGTGAACCTTCCTCAAGCTTGCCAGTCTCTGTTATACACAGAAAGAAACTAAACTGTTAATCTAATATTTAGAAATATAAACATAATCAAGTGGATTTATTGATTAATTCGCTTGTAAGAAAAAGATAAAACTACACTATATCCCATTTCTCCGGCGAGTTTTTTTATAAAATAAGGTTGACAATCGAGCACATGGTCAACCTGATGGTAAGTGCATGCTGTGGCCCATACACATCCACATCCATCTACGATTAATTAACGACGAGAACCAAAATGCAGATGCGTTGTCACCCCTGAGGCCTGAAATGGAATAGGGTAAGCAGTATAATGATTGGCACTTTAAGCGGATTTCTATTTGTAAGTGGTTAATTCTCGTAAATAAACAAAGAGCAATGGCAGAATTTCATACATAAAATTAGTTGAGAAGAAATGGTAGCGTCTATATACCAAAAATATCTTAAAATGTTAAGCGTCAGTCCCTTAATAACTCTGTCAAAGAATTTTGTACTGAAAAGGCGTCAAAAAAAGATATTTACGTTTGAACCTTTTAAGGTTATGTCCTATGTCACTTGGAAAAAGTCATGCTTCCTGTGGTTGTTTGATGTTACCTTAATACATAATTGAGAGTTTTTAGATTATTGTATCTCTATTATATATTTGCATACTATAAATGTATATTTCTGGCATGGCTCCAGAGCTTTTGTACCATAGTGACATTTTCAGAAGAGCTAGAACCCAGAGCCGTGAAGCCAGTAAAAAAAACAGTGACATTTTATTTTAGATATTGTTGCCATAACATTAAATTGAATTGTTACATAGTACTATGATTGAGATAATGTATTATTGTAGGAAATTCTTTGTAAGAGACTTATTCTCAGCCATATCACTTTTATTTTTGTTATTACTAATAGTACAGTTATTACTAATAATAACTTAATATAAAAATATTTTGTGTGTTGTGTTGGTAGTTTTACAAAGTGTATACGAAAATAGTATGAATATACTAAATGGCAACATTTGAATAGAGTAAAATGATAATAAGTCATTTGATATTCCCAAAAATGTTTGTTTTTTTCTGTGGCTTTAATTAAAATACATTTTTATTTGAAAAATCATAGAAAAATAATAAAAATCATTTTATATATAACTTATTTCTATACGCTATAATTTTTGTCAACTATTTTTCTGCCATTGCTCTTTGTTATATTTTTTATTGTTTTGTTGGATTTTAGTTTAGATAACCATAAATAAAATAACGCGTTACGTTTAAAAAGAAATGTTTAATTAAGTTAAAAATCTAATTAAACTTTTTTCTAGGGAATGTTACAACTTAGATCTTCATCTGAAAGCGGTTTCGTTTGTCTACCATGTTTTTTTCTTTCTTCGTATACATTTTTTATGTGATTTTTTTAGTAAAACCTTTCGTATTTTCTCGATATTTTGTAGAAATAGAACTTTATTTCGGTTTTTTAGATTAAACATTTAGAGAGTATTATAATGTCAGAGTTTTTGGCTTCGTGCTTCTTGTTTTGTTTGTCAGTTTGTTTCTATATTTGGCTGACTTCAATTCTGCATTTTCCATTTGTGCCCAATTTTTCCATTATTTTTTTTGCCGCGCTGCTTCCGGATCTTCACTTGTTAGTACAAAATAACGGCGTTGTTTACCTGCTTTTTGCTTTTTGATACGTATTTGGCAATGGAAAAAATTATAAATATTTTTAGGGCTTTCTTAAAGATTTTAGTTTATTTCGACATCCACAATCACCCATTTACCTCCAACAAATTCTAAATTTGCTGCCTAGTTGATGAAAAACATAAGGGTTATAGTTTTCTTTCTGATACTCAACAACAGTCTCTGCAGGTTGTATACGCTCTGGTACTGATAAACCATTATTAAGTGAAAGGATACAAGGCAAATTTGGTAAAGGTATTTCTGATTCAGTCGTTATTAGTCGTTATTCTTAAAATATTAGGTAATTCGGCGTAATGGCAAAGAACGGTGATCATCTAAAATGGCTTGCTGTGATTTCGAGGGCACCGGACACTTTGTTTAATCCACTTTGTCTGGACTAAATGGACACAACTCACATGTCTCAAAACCATTTCATAATGTAGATTTATTTCAATACGGTAAAAGTCTTGCTAATATAGGCCCGCATCTGTTTTAGTAACCTTTTTGTCAAATTGTTTGTCCGTCATTCGAAGACAGATTTACGCTACATATCTTTGGTGGGCCGAAATGCAGTGGTATCAGCTGATTGCAATAGTGGCGTTGCATTCAGGTTAAGGGCTATAAGTATTATGGCGAGACTTGGGCAAAGTTGCGCCGTATTTAAGAAAGTAAATAACTCTCTCTCTAGATACTAACTTTTGAATGTCTGATCACATTTTCTATAGGGGGAAAATAATAGGTTTTACCATCTACTCCAAAGAACAGTGATGCAAGACCTCGATTAGGCATGATCCACCTCATAGACGTTTTATTCTCCCTCTATAAAACGGTTTATTATGTATGGGGTATTTATTCAAAAACCTCACATCATTGACATTTTTATGACATCGAAAACTGTGCCAGTACCAGGTCCGCTTTTCAGGTTGTTAGTTTTTTTGACTTTACTTATTTAGTGGGAACTGTAAATTCGCGCGTGGAATGTTAAATGTTAATGGGGCAGTTATTTTTCTAAAGTTTTAGTTAGTTTAAGTTAGTTTTAGTTAGTTAAGTTAAAGTTATTTTTCTCTCATTCATCATCAATTCAAAATATGAAAAAGTTCAGTCATAATCATTGGCACTACTCAAATGATATAGTCATTGGCAGTGTCAAGAATAGATTTTGGACAAAAGAATGAAAGTATAGTTGATTGACATATATGCCAATGATTGTGTAGTCAAACAAAGTAAAGTATAGTCATTGGTACAATTAAAAAAAACCGATGCTTCTATTTCACAACGATAAAATAACGTTTAATATGCTTTAATGACTTACTTACTTACTTACTTATCTTCACGCACAATCCCTGACGGGGTAGCCAGAGAGAACAGATCGCCAAGTGTCACGATCCTTACATATCTCTTTCGCTTCTTTCAGATTCATTATCTTCTTCATACATGCACGTCTAGGTATCCGAGTACTCTTGACCCTACCCTCTTCGAGCAATTTGCTCACATGGTCTTCGAAAGTTAGTCTCGGTCTACCTCGACACCTTTTAATATTAACTTTCGCGCTATATATTTTCTTCACCATTCGGTCTTCACTCATTCGCTCAACGTGCCCAAACCACCGAAGCACGCCCTTATCAATTTTTGTGATAAGGTCATCTTTCAAACCTGCCATATTGCGAATCTCTTCGTTTCGCTTTCGGTCGGCCATAGTAACGCCGCACATTTTACGAAGAGATCGCATCTCCACTGCATTCAACTTACTTTTATGCTTCTTCTGGCATACCCAGGTTTCGCTGCCATATAACAAAGTCGGTACCAACACTGCGTTATGTATTGCAAGGCGTGCACTCTTCGCTACGCCTTGCCTTTTGACTAACGCAGTCAGGGCACCATTGACTTTGTTCCCGGCAGCGACACGCCTGTCCACATCTAAATCACATCTTCCATCCCGGCTAAAATGACGTTAATTGATTAGAATAGACAGAAACCTGCATATAAACTTACCTAAAAATCACATTTTTGTTTCAAAATCTACCCACATTAATCTTAACTTTTTGTTAAATTTTAACGGATTTGTCCGCACACAATTTTAAAACAGCCCTTATAGTAAAATAGTTGATGCTTTAAATATAAATGTGTATTGTTAGTATAAGTAATTATATATCTTAGCAATATCTGTGTAGCTGTGATATAGAAAAAGGAAAACATTCTTAATATTCAGATTAAAATAGCAAAGTGCCAATCATTGTAGGAGTGCCAACATTAGTACTGTTTACCCTACTTTGTTTCCAGTAAAAAAGGTAAGACCGTTTTTAAGATTATCTGCAGTCACCCTACGAAACGCAACATCACTAATACTGCTAACTTTACGCTGATATTCTATAAAAGCGTGATCCTTTCCCGGTCGAGTCGACCCATAGTTACAGCGTGGCTCTACAACGTGTAAAACTTAGCTCGCGAACCTGAAATGTTCAGAAACGTGTGATGCGAAAACCCACCGGTGGGCCGGCAGCATGATTTGTAGTTCTCTTTTTTTTTTTGGGTTGGTCTAGTTATTTACCAAACTGAGCCCAGGCATCGGGATTGTCCTATTAGTCAGGATTACCCGTCGACACGGGTCAATATGAGAAAACTGTTAAATTTCAGCAGTGTCGAGATGACGGCGCAGCAGCGGCCTGCGATCCCAGTCATGATCTGATGCTATGCAGTTTACTGCCTCGTTGGTCTAGTGATCGAAAACGCGATTGCTGATAATGGGGTCCCAAGTTCGAATCCCGGGTCGGGTCAAAAATCAGTTATTTGGTTTTTCTTTCAAGAAATTTGTCAGTAGCAGCTGGGAGTTAGGAAGTTGGCGGTATTTCACCCCTGTGCCTCGGAAAGCACGTAAAAAAAAAAGTCGTTGATCATGCGCCTGAACCCACTAAGGCCGTGTCGGTTTGCCATGCCATCGGATTATCAGAATGAAGGAATAGAGAGTGCACCTGTGCTTCAGCATACACTAGGGCACTATAATCCTGTCTGTGCGGATGGCTAGCCTCCGTCGAAACTGGCCGCCGTGACCGAAATTTGGTCTGAAGGACATTATGTCTACGGTTGGTGTGATGTAGGTGTACGAATGTGTGATGTAGTTACCGGTATCAAGTGGCGCCAGCTGGTAGGCGGGGGCGTGGGAGGCGGCGGGGAGCCGCGGCTCGCCACCCGCCCCCACCCCTGCGCCTCCCGCACCCGCGCCTACGCTCTCCCGCGCCGAGTACTGCCTGCGCACACATACGCCAGACTCACATAACCAACAGCTAACAATATGTTTCAGGCAAAATAAAAACTATTTGGAATGTCTGTAACTTACAATTTGTTGGTACATAATTAGAAAATTTACATATGATCGATAATATTTTGCTATAGTGTTTCTAGAGCAGGCGGAAAAACGTACATTGACCTTCAAAGGTTGCATATGAATCATGTGATACAGCAGCTCAAAATATGACTAAAAATAAAAAATAAGGGTAAGGAGAGCCAAGAGTATCGTCAACGATATCATCGGGTTAGCCAACCTTTTTCTTAGGTTTCATCTTTTTATCCTTGTATCAAGACATACATCATCAGAATGAAATATAAAAGTACCGAGTGCGAAATTCTTCGCAGGTTCTATGTCTATTATTTTTATTATGAAGAAAGAAGATTGTGGCGTAACTCGCTTCTGTTGGCTCCCAGATAAATCCGCTACGCTTATGAAGCTTGAGCCACGCTCGAACATCACGCCACCGCACCGGAGCGAACCAATGGCGTGACCTAGATATGCGACGCACCGCGCCTTCGTCAGAGCGCGTGCCGGACCACCGGGCATTCCGCCGACAGCTAGCTCAGGAACAACACGCGCGCGCCTCACACCTCGATTAACTTATCTTGTACGCGAAGTTAATTTCATTCTTGTAAATTGTTGTCAGTAAAAGTTATTTTTTTTTATCTCGAATAACATTACTTCATTCGGAGTCATATAATTCTTTATCCTATCCTATAATAGTATTATGTCATTTAAATATATAACGTACGAGTATTGAATACTACGGTTGGGTTTGGTGGCTAGGTGTTAACACATACAACTCTCACCGAGCTACCACGATAGCGAACCCACAAAACTGTACTTATATGAATTAAAAAGCAAATGAATATTAATTTAAATTTATTATTTGTAAACCATGAAGTGTTAATACTAATTTAATTATTACATTAACAGTAGGTAAGTAGGTAGGTAGGTAGTTGTACAAAACATAACCAATTCTTGGCAGTCGGGTAAAATGGCGAACTTTTAATGCATTCTTTAGCAGTCAACCTTGAAGCACGCATAAAACTTCTCATAATAGATTGTCAGAGACACTTGACAGACTATGCTTTGTAACTATTTCAGAATCATTTTCTGATGATAAAGACGTGGAAAAGTTCGCCACATTGATTATAAAACTGTCTACAGTTTTATCAATGTCATTATCTAATTAATTTAATTTGTTTTCTTCTTTTATGACGTGGTTAATGCAGTTTTCGCACTTTACATGGTCAATTTTGTATAGCCTCTCTTCAAATAGATTTTTGACGTCTGCCGTTTTAAAAGAGGTATTGTTTCGGTTTAGGTTTGTTATCTCTGAATGACCGCTTCCTTCACCCCACCCCGTACCATGAGACACGGTTAGCGCATAACGATACGTAATCGATAATGAAATGTATGGAAGCAATACCTGTCGTTTTGTTTCGGTACTAACATAATACTTTAGGTCAATGTACGTTTCTCCGCCTGCCCAAGAAACATGCTATACATGTCTAAAGTTTATGTAAAAGGTAAATACATAATGCGTTTTATCCCAGTTTACCCAAGGTAACTCCGCAGCAGCATTGTTTTATTAACTTATTAATTAATACAAACTTAAAAAAAAAACTTAATTCATAATTAAATTTACGCGCGAAATTGTTTACTTTAAGTACCGGTTTTCGACCAGCTTTCAGAAGATCCGCTCTAATTCCATCATCGCCCGGAGCCTTGCTATTGTATAGGTGCTGAGGGCCGTTCTAATATCGCTCAAATTGACGTCCGGGATATAATCGAAATGTGTCGGATGAGACTTGCTCTCGGATAGTTATTCACACTTGCGTGTGGTTTTTAATCTCACTGAAAATCTCGAGTGTCCCGGAAACTATGCTACCAAATTCGGTCTTCAACTTCGATAGTTCTTTTTAAGCTAGACATATTTCGGGCAAGATTTGGGAACCATGATTCCGCTCAATCGCTTCTTCAATACGAACTGTATTGAAGTTACGTAAGTCACGCCGCATGCATTTGGAGATTAGTCTGTTCAGTTGTCTATATGCTGTCTTATCTACTGGAGATTGCAGCTTCACTTTCCGTCTAACAGCCATAGAAGAGTGTGATGGGAGAGTTTTTGGGTTCTACTGCGACGGGTTTTGTAGAATGTAGTTGTGACCCCTTGGACAGTTTCCACGAGCTTGTCATTCATATCGTCCTGTACTGAGAATTTCTAGGCACTGAAAATGATTTCGTAATTCAACCTAAAAGTATTCGGGACTGAATTAGAGCACGGGGAGGACGGCGTTGACTTCATTTAATGTGACCTCTCCAACCGCACATTAAGATTAAGATTTGTGCCTTTTTCCATTAGGTGTTCACTACCAGTTCAATACACCATAGTGGTCACTGAGACATCACTGAACAATTGCCATCTGGTCGTCATAATCAAGTCATTCTCATTTTTCGTCAAACCGCCGGGGCTTGACCAGGACAACTTTATGTGGGGCCGCTTCTGAAATAAAGAGTTCATCATAAAGAGTCCCTCCTTTTCCATAAAGTCGGCCAACTGTTGATTCCTTAGGTTGCAGTGCCTTATTCCAAATTATACTGCCTTCAACTTACCATTCTCTCTTGTTCCTAGTTTTGTGTTGAAGTCTCCTATTAACACCATATAGTAGATTTTGGAGGAATGTATGGCTCTAGAGATATCTTCATACATTTCCGCCACCTCGGTGCGTAAGATTGACCTTCAACGAATACCATTTCGAGATTCTGAGTATAAGGTCGTAACATAATGACTGAGAAGAGTTTATTTTTGAGTAGTCGGTGTTGGTAACAATAGATAAATAAAAGAAATTGAGCAAATCAATCCTTAAATAATTTGCTTTCCAATTCTAATCGATAACAAGTGGAAGAGGGATTTTTTGGGCGGAACTTGACCGCCGGCAGATTGCTGCTCTCGTTTTATTGTGTAAATAATAGTTTGAAGTGGAATTTGCTACGTAGAAGTGGTGCTATTTTGTGTATTAAATGTGTCTGCGCATGCGAACTGTCAGTGGAAATTATGAAACAAGCGCTCCGATGGTGATGTGAACCTCAAGATAAAGTGTCTGCTGGTAATAAATCTGCTGTCGGAAGCTCCCAAATACTTCGCAATGTGACGCATCAACATATTGGAAAGAAGTTTTTAAACATATTATTGACAACAAAAGTATAACAGTATACAAGTATAACACTGGAAAAATTCCATAACGAAGAAAAGATAAAGAAGTGGGAGATATAATACACTTACTTGAGGTAATCGGCGAGGGAAAATTTATCTGCTATAAAACGGTCGCGTGAGAGCACGTCGAGGGGAGGAGCGAAGGGCGGCGACGGTGGGGAAGGCGGGGAGGCGGGCGAGTGCGGGGATGAGGGAGGGGAGGGCGGTGGCGAGGGGGGCGCGGGCTCGCGCCAGCGCCGCGGCGACAGCGACAGCGACAACTCGGCGTCGCTCGCCACGCGCTCGTCGCTGCGCTCTCCCACGCTGCAGGAGCTTGCCTCGGACAACACCAATGACGAATCTGCAAACGACACTGCCAGAATAACATAAGGTACCTACCTATATGACGGTAAGTACTAAGTACCATATTAATACCTTAACCTTTGCTTATTGATTTTATTTATTATATATCCTTATTTTTTGCCGTGTAGTTGCGGGTAAGAATAGCCACTACCCCATATCTTCCGGTGGGTGTCGTAAAAGGCGACAAAGGGAAACAGGCAGGAAATGGGCAGCAGCATCTTCCTGATAACAGCAAAAATACAATAAAAAACTGCGGTTGCCAACCCGCTCGCTAAGCGTGGCAACTATGGCAAATAATGGATAGTCTCAAAAAAATCTCCGGTGGAGGTTCGGTTGCCACCTACGACGACTCGAACATATAACGCACGCACCCTGAAGACTGACGAGAAGATTGTGAAGCTGGAAGAAGAGATAGACAAGTTACACTTGCATATTATAGAATTATCCGAAGTCCGAAGAGAGGGGGAGGACACGGTAATCCTCGAATCCGGCAACTTGCTCTATCACCGGGAGGGCGACCATCTATCCCAAGGAGGTGTCGGATTTATCGTCCACAAGTCTCTCGTTAACAACGTTGTAAAGATTGAAAGTGTGTCGACGAGGGTTGCGTACCTTATACTCAGACTAACCAAACGGTATTCGCTGAAGGTCATACAGGTTTAGGCACCAATCTCGGCACACCCCGATGAGGAGGTGGAGGAAATGTATGAGGATATCTCTAGAGCCATGCATTCCTCCAAAACCCAATATACGGTTGTTAATGGGAGACTTCAGTGCAAAACTAGGCACAAGAGAAAACGGTGAGCTGAAAGTAGGGAAATTTGGAATAGGGCAACGGAACCCAAGGGGCCAGCAGCTGGCCGACTTCATGGAGAAAAAGATACTCTCTATGATGAACTCTTTCTTCCAGAAGCGGCCCCACAGGAAGTGGACCTGGTCGAGCCCCGACGCTTCCACAAAAAATGAGATTGACTTCATTATGACGACCAGACGACAACTGTTCAGTGATCTCTCCGTGATCGCGAGGGTGAAAACTGGTAGCGATCACCGAATAGTTAGAGGCACACTGAACCTAAACGTTAAGTTGGAGAAGTCTCGTCTAATGAAGTCAACGCTCCGTCCCCTCGTGCTCTGTTCCAAAGTCCCGAAACCTTTCAGCTCGAGTTACAAACCCGTTTTCAGTGCCTAGAAGACTGCAATGAAGTGGACGATATGAATGACAAGCTCGTGGAAACTGTCCATGCGGTCGGAGCTAAGTTCTGCAAGACCCGCCGCAGAAGAACACAAAAACTCTCCGATCACACTCTTAATCTCATGGCTGTTAGACGGGAGATGAAGCTACATTCTTCAAAAGATTTGACAGCATACAAGCAACTGAACAGACAGATCTCCAAATGCATGCGGCGGGACTTACGCAACTTCAATACAGCTCGTATTGAAGAAGCGATCGAGCAGAACCAAGGCTCCAAAGTCTTTGCCAGAGATCTGTCTGCCAGAAAGAGCTAACTGTCAAAGCTGAAGACGGAGTGTGGCAGCATCGTTTCCGGGGCACCTGAGATTTTGAGTGAGATTGAGAGGTTTTATGGGCAGCTGTACACGTCATCGTTGGAGCCACACGCAAGTGTGAGTAACGATCCAAGAGCGAGTCTTATCCGACACTATTCCGAAGATATCCCGGACGTCAGTCTGAGCGAGATTAGAATGGCTCTCCAGCACCTTAAAAACGGCAAGGCCCCAGGCGAGGATGGAATTACAGCGGAGCTTCTGAAAGCAAATGGAAGACCAGTACTTGAAGTCCTGCAGAAGCTCTTTAATTCCGTCCTCCATGGTGGCATTACACCGGAGGCGTGGAGCTGAAGTGCGGTGGTCTTGTTCTTCAAGAAAGGCGACAACGCTCTCTTGAAGAACTACAGACCGATTTCCCTTCTGAGCCGCGTCTACGTGCTGTTTTCGAGTCATTACGAATCATCATTACGTCAGTCATTACGACTTGACTTGACGACTTCCAGCCTCCCGAACAAGCCGGTTTCCGAAAGGGCTTTAGCACCATAGACCACATACACACCCTTCGGCAAATTGTACAGAAGTCAGAGGAGTACAATTTGCCACTGTGTCTGGCGTATGTGGACTATGAGAAAGCCTTTGATTCCGTCGAAGTTTGGGCGGTGCTGCAGTCCCTTCAGCGGGACCAAGTTGACTGCCGGTATATCGAAGTGCTGAAGTGTTTGTACAGTAGGGCTACGATGGCTATCCGAGTACAGAACCAGAGTACGAAACCTATCCAATTACAGAGAGGTGTAAGACAGGGTGACGTCATATCCCCGAAACTCTTTACCGCTGCATTGGAAGACGTTTTCAAGCTTCTGGACTGGAAAGGATACGGTATCAACATCAATGGCGAGTACATCACTCACCTTCGATTTGCCGACGATATAGTCCTTATGGCAGAATCGCTGGAGGACCTAAGCACTATGCTCAATGAACTCAATAGGGCTTCCCAACGGATAGGTCTTAAGATGAACATGGACAAAACAAAGATCATGTTTAATGTCCATGTCACACCTATGCCGGTAGTTGTTGGGAGCACTAAGCTCGAAGTTGTTGACGAGTATGTTTACCTGGGACAAATAGTCCGACTAGGTAAGTCCAACTGCGACCGAGAGGTCAATCGACGGATTCAACTCGGTTGGGCAGCGTTCGGGAAATTACGGCACATCTTCTCGTCAGGTATACCTCAAAACTTGAAAACGAGACTGTACAACCGTGTTGCCAGTGATGACATACGGTACTGAGACGTGGTCCTTCACTGCTGGCCGGATGAGGAAGCTCAAGGTCGCTCAGCGAGCTATGGAGAGGGCTATGCTCGGAGTTTCTCTGCGTGATAAACTATGAAATGAGCATATCCGCAGTAGAACCAGAGTGACCGACATAGCCCAACGGATTAGTAAGCTGAAGTGGCAATGGGCCGGCCATATAGCTTGAAGAACCGACAACCGATTGGGACAAAAGGTTCTCGAGTGGCAGCCTCGTACCGGCAGGCGAAGTGTTGGGCGTCCCCCCACTAGATGGAGTGACGACCTGGTAAGATATGCAGGAAGTCGATGGATGCAGGTGGCTCAGGACCGTACTTTGTGGCATTCCTTGGGGGAGGCCTATGTTCAGCAATGGACTTGTGAAGGGCTGTAATGATAATGATGATGATATCCGTTTTTATTCGACTGTCAAAATGGCATCAATAAAGCACTTTCGAACTTATATTATTTGATTGACTGATGAAGGGTTATTGTATCACAGAGCCATGTATGCAAAAAGGGCTGTAGTTTTGAGTTATAAGAAAGTGACCATATTAACCAGAAAACCATATTACCCTCACCTACTCTACACAATTTTTTTAGTTCAATGAGTGGCAGCACTGAAGAGGATATATTCTTCAATAGTATTATTACATTAAAGTGTATTTTAACAATAGTTTCTTAAATGTTACAAGGGTTCATAACTTATAAGTATTTTTCTTACTAGGTTAAGGGTAAAAGATAGTTGTTGCCTGGCTTTATCACAACCTTTTATTTTCTAATCTACATTTGGAAACTTAGTTATGGTAATTTCTACATAAATGTATAAAAAACAATTAATTATAATAGCTGTAAGTTTTGAACAATAAAATAAAATAAGCTTTTGTTATAATATTTGTAATAATTAAAAATAACAAATGAGTTTACTTGATGCAACCTGAAATGTCCTTATGATCAAATGTAAAACATGTTTTGTACTAATGGTACCTAATAAAAGATGGCATGATAACGCACGGAACTCTTTGCTATCCTTACCCTTATTTTTTATTTTTAGTCATATTTTGAGCTACTGTATCACATGATTCATATGCAACACAGAAATTACTTTATCTTCAGTTGTTGCATTTAAAGGATGTGCCTCAAGCAAATTACATATGACATTGCTATGACTACACTGAAACCCACTCTAACTCAAGAATACCAAACACCGAATGTTTATCACGTATAACATCCACTTACCTCAGATGTACTGTGTGCTTGTTAGTTACGCTTATTCTACAAAAAAAAATTGTTTTTTGTTCTAAATTTATTTTTCAATTAAGTACCACTAATTATTAAAAATATTACCCTTAAGCATAAAGATTGTTATTATACAAAATCTAATTTGTTTGAATCTTAACAAACCTAGGTCTGTCTCGTTGAGCCCTAGTAGGCGCAGCTGTTGTCTTGAGAGCTGAGCGGGGGACGGTGTTTTGTGTGGCAAGAGGCAGATTGCATGTCGAAGTGCACTTGCACACGCAATACCTGCCAATATTAATTCAGTGTATCGGGCCAAGGATGCAGGGCAAGGACCCGTACATGTCCTAAATGCAAAAATAAAATTTTTATGTAATTGGTGTGAGAAAAAAATCTAAATTAAGTGATAATTGTAGAATGAAGTTAGAAGACAATAGGGAAGATCCCTCAACAGGGAAGAAAAGAATTTTAACAGTGGTAGAGCCAGGCGACAGCTTTTGCTGTCGCATGGATGGGCCGGCTCGAACCGGGGTGGTACCACAACCTCACAGAATACCAGCGTGAAGTAGAGGTATAGCTCTGCATTTCGCTTGGTGAGTGCAGGTGGCCGTAGGCCCTTTTTACTGGAAATGAGGCATTCCACTCTAGTCCTCACGGGTGAAAACGCATCTGTATTTTGATCTGTAACAGAGGATAGATGTAGATGTCTATGGGCCGCTTACCATCAGGTGGACTGTGTGCTCGTTTTTCACCCTTATCCTATATAAAAAAAAGAAAGCATACATTTTGAGATTTTTTGAAAAAGCAGTGGTTTAAAGTAGACATGGGACGAGTACTTGGTTTGGATTCGGTACTTGGCGGATCCGGCCATTTTTTAGGGTTCGGCCGTGCACCGAGTATTAACGGCCGAGTATCGAGTACTCGGCCTTAATTATTCAATTCAATCCCCAGAAGACACAAGTTTGCGCGTTTACCGCTAAAAAGAACCCCTTTGTCGTATCTCCTCAGTTTCAAGGCACTCCCCTTGCTGCCTCAGCTAGTATCGGAATCCTTGGCGTCGACATATCGAATAGTGTGGAGTTTCGTGGTCACTTGGAAGGGAAGGCCAAATTGGCCTCTAAAAAGCTTGGCGTGCTCAGCAGAGCGAGACAGTATTTCATGCCGGCACATCGCTTGTAACTTTACAAAGCGCAAGTTCGGCCCCACATGGAATACTGTTCTCATCTCTGGGTCGGGGCACCCCAGTGCCAGCTCCTTCCACTTGAATGCATCCAGCGCAGAGCGGTTCGAATCGTCGACGACCAAGTTCTTTCTGATCGGCTCGATACACTGGCACTGCGTAGAGATGTGGCATCTCTTTGCGTATTTTATCGCATCTATCACGGGGAGTGCTCTGAGGAATTGTTCAGACTAATTCCAGCCGCTCAATTTCACCATCGCACATCGCGACATAACTCGCGTTACCATCCATACCATCTGGATGATTGGCGGTCCACCACTGTGCGATTTAGAAGAAGTTTTCTCCCTCGCACAACTTCTTTGTGGAATCAATTACCACCAGCGAATTTTCCGGACCGATACGACATAGGAACCTTCAAGAAAAGAGCTAACACCTTTCTAAAAGGCCGGCAACGCATCTGCAATTCCCCTGGTGTTGCAGTTGCTCATGGGCGGCGGTAGTCACTTACCATCAGGTGAGCCTCATGCTCGTTTGCCCCCTCTTCTATAAAAAAAAAAATTATATTCCTGAGAAAATAAAGACAAAAAGCCAGTTTTTATCATTATTATTATATTATGCACATTAAAACATCAGGAACATGAGAATCAGCAGAAATATTTAGAACGTACATAAGAATCTATAATAGAAATTATTATTACTAATATTTAAAATGTAACAGAGGAAGATTGTGATGCAAAAACACTAGTTTTTCGGCCCTATTTGGCCCTAGTTTGTAAGGGAAATAACTGCACCCCGCCCGCTACCATGTTTTTTTTTAAAGCCGAGTATTCTGCAGAGTACTCGGCCCAATCTAGGCTGAGTATCCGGTGGCCGAGTACTCGACGAATCTCTACTCGTTCCATGTCTAGTTTAAAGCTACATTTTTTATACTTTTGGTCATTAAGAAAATACATTTTTTTTTTAATAAATTATTTTAAAAGCTACCTACCAAACAATAACTTACCAACACAGAACTTGACTTTTTTACCTTGTTTATATGTATGGAAAGTGCATACATAATATATCAAAGATTAAACTTAATTAATAGAAAAAATGTTATCTATATGTATCATTTTATCAATTTCTTTGTAACTTATGATGTGACCAGACATTATATAAGACATAAAACCAAATAAAAATAATACTCTTTATCCAAATATGTCACTGGAACCTAAAGAGCTAAAAACCAAAACAAAGTTATTTTACAAAAAGTACTTACAAATCATAGGTGAACAAAAGGAAGAAAAAAACATTCACGAAGAACCATTTCATTGAGGTAGTTCTCTTCTGTTTTGCATAATTTAAGTCAATTGTTCGTTGAACAAGATTGGAATTTGGATTAAGACACCTAAAATAAAATAAAATTTAAAATATTATTTAAAAAAATCAAGTAATAGATTAAATTACACCAGTAATTTTCGGTATACTTACATGTTTAAGTAATTAAATACTTTCTTACAAATATAATAATATCTATAAGTACACTGTTATTAAAATGCGAAAACCTAAAATTAATTTGCTACTATTATTATACATTTTTTAAATCACAACTTTTTTTATTAAATATTAACCTATAAATACTAAAATTTAACGTAAAACGTAAACAAAAGCAAAACAAGCGTGCAACGCTTGCAATTTTTTTTATATCTGGCTTTACGGCTCTGGGTTCTAGCCCTCCTAAGCCTGAAGTTACAATGTATAATTACCCGTCATAGTACACCGCTTCACAATATATTGATGCGTCACATTGTGCAGCCCTTGGGAGATTTAGACGGCAACTTGAGCCAGCAGACAGCTGACAGTTGGCGATGTTATCTCAAGGTGCCTAAGCAGAGAGACACCTTATCTTGAGAATCACATCACCATCAGAGCACTTGTGCACCGTTTCCACTAATAGTTCGCATGCGCAGACACTTAATATACAAAATCGCAACAGTTTTACATATCAAAATTCACTTCAAGCCTTTATTTAAACTGAAGCTTTATATCAAGATCATAGCAATTGTTTCATCGTTGAAAGTTCACATGCGCTGGCAATTCATATACAAAATCGCATCACCATCCATTATTTTCATTTTCGTATAAAAATTCACTTCAAACTATTATTGAAACGATAAAACAGGAGCAACAATTAGCCGCCCGTCAAATTCCCGCCAAAATCAAGAATAAGTCCTAATCGAATACAATATTATACAATATTATATGTTCATCGATGTATAACTCATAAACTTAGAATATACTGGCGTATAGACCACCTGACAGCCCGAAAACGCGTAACCAATTTTGATTTGTTATTGTGTGCGTTAGATAGTGATGTATATTTTACTTACAAGGACTATTGAAAATGATTGTTAAGGATTTAAAAAAAGTGTTTAGTGCATGAAGTTGAATAACTTCAAAAAATAACTGAATTTTACCATAATAGTTCTAAAATTTAAAAAGTTTTCATATAACATGTTCCTGGGAATAAACTGAACCTACCTGCCTTTTGTTGGATTTCAATTAAAATGTATAAAATCCCAGGTGAATTTACCTTAAACTTAAAAAACTCCCCAATAATCAGATCGGAAAGTTGTATTTTCGAGCTATGATCTTTGGGGAAAAATATTTACTGCCGTGGGCAGTTTCCCCGACATTTCTTTTTTAACATATTGTTAATATAAATAGGTAGATACTTAACTAAGCATATACTTATTTATATTTTATATATTTTATAAAATGTTTTGATGAGAAAATTAAAACGGGAACATGGAGTACATAACGGCTGCTTTATTTTTCATATAAGTATTACTTGTGATAATTATAAACATTTAATAATTAATAATTAAATACATTACAGAACTTTATTTTAACATTCGACTTAAGTATAAATGTAAACTTAATAATTCAAGGACGGATACTTGTAGAAATCAGTTAAATAAGATTGCGCTGCTTAAAGGCCAATATGTTTATGAGGCTTCATCATGCTTCATTTTTATATTCTTTCATCTGTCCCCTGAAAAGTATAAAGTAATAATAAACTTATTATCATTTTAGCTGTTTTAGGACCTACCCTCTTTCTCATCTACATCAACGACTTATGTAACATGAGGATCTATAACGCCAGAGTTTTGTCATACGCTGATGATACTGCTGTAGTATTTGCCGGTGATTCTTGGGAGGTGGTCAAAACTAGTGCTGAGGCTGGTCTGTTGCGAATCGCTCAGTGGCAGAAACACAACCTCCTGACCCTAAATACTTCTAAAACCAACTATATATGTTTTAGTACTAACAACAACTCGCAACCTCAGGCCGACTTCAGTTTAAAAATTCATGAATGTACAACGGATACTAATAAAAACACCTGTAACTGCCCTAGAATCGATAAGGTAGTTCAGACAAAATATCTGGGAGTAATTGTAGACCAAAGACTATCATGGTACCCACACCTTGATCATGTCATCAATAGAATGAGGAAACTAACTTGGATCTTCAAAACCCTCAGACATGTAATGCTGGGCAAATCGGATGAGGACTCACCAAATTATCTCCTCAATCAAATCTACATTGCTCTTGCTCAATCCGTCTTGGCCTACTGTATTCCTGTCTGGGGTGGTGCAGCAAAAACTCGATTTCTGGAGTTAGAGAGGGCGCAGCGTTCTCTTATTAAAGTTATGTACTTTAAGAAGAGACGCTTTCCTACCGATTTTCTATTTCGTATCAGCGGTTTACTCTCTGTCAGGAAGTTGTATATATTCTGGACAACCCTCAAAACTCACAAATCATTGTCTTATGATCCATGCCATTTAAATAAACGACGTAGAAACATGGTTGCCCAGACATACAGAACTAAAACCACATTTGCGAGCAGACAATTTATATCACGTTCTGCCTTACTTTATAATAAAATAAACAAAGATATTTATATATACGACAAAACATATCACAACTGTAAAAAACTTTTGTTAGAATGGATTCATCATAAGACATATGACGAAATTGAGAAGCTACTGGATTGTGTAGCATGATTTGTTCTGATTCAGACACTGTAATCACACATACTCTTTTTAACTCACGCAAGCATAGACACAAACACACACACACCCACACACACACACACACACACACACACACACACACACACGCGCGCGCACACACACACACACACACACACGCGCACACACACACACACACACAGACACACACATACATACATAAGTAATATAATTAATATAGAATTCAAGTAATATATAACATTAATATGGATATAGAATATGTTTATCCATACTGCCTTGTAACATGGATATAGTAATGGAAGGACGGACCCTCCAAACACAGGCATTATTTGCTTAAATGGAGGTTCCAATCTACTAGTTTTTAAGGCATTTACTTTTTAAAAACGAAATAAAATTTATTTATTTATTTATTTATTTATTTAGCTGCATGAATTTTAAAAACATAATAATCTTAATCTGATAATGAAATAAATAATCTGATGAATTTTCCAGAAAAACTCATTCAAAGGGCTCATATGAACTTACAGGGTTGTATTGGTGATTTTCTGGTTTAAGAAATTTATTTCTCATAAGAATAAAAAATTCATTTGTAAGAGAAATACAAGATTGACTTAAAATAGATACGTATGTTTACATGTGAACAAATGCTGGAGCGTCATTATTTTATCATTGAGTGATGTGATATCATTATTGTAAGAGCATTGACAATTACATTTCAAAATCAGATTGACATAAAATAAAAATAAAAATGTGGGTAAGTTGAAAACAATTACATCGACAAATTCAAAATATTGCAGACTTTATAATATTGTTAAACATTGAGTATAGCAAACGGTATGGTCTTATTACATGTCAAAAATCGAAGCACATCTATTACTATCATAAATTTCGATCTAGCATATATTAAGTAGTTAATGTATGCGTGGAATATTAAGATTGATTTAATTATATGATTTTAATGATAATAATTCTGTAAACACATAATTGCTACGGTCGCGAATCATATTTTGTTAAATATACAACCTAACCCTGACCTGCAAATTCCAAAAAACGCAAGAGAATTTGAATTTCGCGGGCCACCCTGGAGCTTCCACCTTAACCATTTTTTCTAATTATAGAATCCGGAGGGAATCTGTTTGACAAATGGCAAAATAAAATTACATTTTAGAACGCAAGCCGAGGATATATTTTCTTGTTGTGTAGGCAAGTCTATCGATTCATTATAAACATTAAAGATAAATATCGACATCAATTTTGATATTATTGAGTCAAGTACCGTACATGTAAAATATTTTGTATAAAAATGTATTATTCAAAATTAATGCATATTATCAACAACGTGAATTTTTTCTTTGTAAAATATCAAAATAAACAAAATAATTGAAAACGCTCTATATTTTAAACAGTATATAACACAAATTTTAACCAAACATAAACGCTTCATAACATTGACGACGTCTTGAGAATTTACCTGTGAAATGTGTAATTATTAGGATTATTTCTATTATTAACACCACAATCAGTTACTGAACAAATAAGCATTTTAGAAAGTTACTAACTAAAAACAACCACTATTACACTTTAAAAAGTTACAAAATATCTAGGAGCTATTTCTTGCGGGCCGAATTGCGCCAATCTGTCATTCAAAATCGGTTACAGAGTCATGAGATTTGGTATCCTTTTCTATCTTGCATTTTTGCCATAAGGAATTTTCTTCTCACTTGCACACTAGGTTGGTCTATACGCCAGTATATTCTAACTCTATGGAATAACCTACGTCTTTGTCACAAAAAATGAAACGTTATTTTTTCAAAAGTTTTTAAAATCGGCGTGGATGTTTCTTTAATTGTATATATGTATGTATTATTGTATATATATAGAAGAGGAAGCAAACGAGCATGCGACTCATCTAAAAATGACATATCGAAAACGATGATATCCTCAGACACCTACAGTAAAAAACGGGTAATTGATTCTCTTAAATCACTACTACTTACATGGCGAAAACATGTATAAAATATGTATGGGTGTGTGCCTACCACCTCGCAGAAGCAAAGGTTATGTCGGACTCGAACCCGGTAAAAGACCTATGTATTCCATCTTCGTTACATATCCACTGGGCTACGGGAAATATTTAATTCACGTCCACATACGCACAAGCGACGACCAGCGCCCTTAGATGCCCCTCCTTAGGAGAGAACAACTCCTCCCTCTATTTTTTCTCAGATAAGACACGGCACGCCTTTCTGTACAGCGTCCAACTCCACCTGCACAATGGCGGGAGAGATGTTATTCGAGTCCATTACGTAGGGATTATGGGGCAATAAAAATGAGCACTCATAAGCCTTACTGACCAGGTTGTTAATTTTATCTATAGTTCCGCCGCCTTCAATTTATGTGGTAGAGCCACTCTACAGCTATATTATAAAAGGAAAGACCAAATTTTCTCAGAATACCAGCGTGAAATAGCATTTTAATGCTGTAGTGTTTCGTATGTTGAGTGTAGAGAACCGAATACCCGTTTCACTAGAAACGAGGCATGACATCTTAGTCATATGTCGCAGCCAACTAGCTTCATTATCCTTTCATTTAACAGCCTAGTCTTTTTACTATTGATTAGCGGCCTAAATGATTATTCTTCAGCGGATGAGTCTAATACATTTCATGTCTAATTAAGCACTATGTGCTATATTATTTAAACAAAGGTACGCGCCTTTAGGGTGGCCAAGGGCCACCCCAGTCGCTCCTTCAAATATTCTGGCTGATATTACAATGTTGTATTAGACCCATCGGCTGAATATCATTTAGGCTGCTCGTTAAACGGCGCGGCACCCTTTAGTAAAAAGGCTAGACTGTTAACTGAGAGGGTGATTAAGCTAGTTGACTGCTACATAATATATAATTTTTCTGTTCGTGTGTATGTGACTGAACTCCTCCTTTAATGTAATTTTGTGTGTGATTAAGTTGATTCGAGAACGGTTTATTTTCTTAATTGGGCCCAGTAGGTCGTAATCCGTAAACATAATTTTACTCAATGTGTAGTATTCGCGAAAATATAACACATCTTCCTGTAAATAATCTTAAACTGTGCTATGTTGGTATCTTATTTTGATTTTTAAACAAAAAAAGCAGTTTGCGGTGTCGATAAATTTGTTCTAGATGATGTAGGTAACTTATAATTTTATTAAAATCATAATAATCATTATCATCGTTACAGCCCTTAACAAGTCTCCTGCTGAACATAGCTATCACCCAAAGAATGCCGCAAAGCACGATCCTGAGCCACATGCATCCATCGACTTCCTGCATGTTACCAGGTCGTCACTCCAACTAGTGGGGGGTCGCCCTACATTTCGCCTATCGCCTATATCCATCGGTTGTCGGTTCTTCGAGCTATATGGCCGGCCCATTGCTACTTCAGCTTACTAATACGTTGGGCTATGTCGGTCACTCTGGTTCTATTGCGGATATCCTCATTTCTAATTTATCACGCAGAGGAACCCCAAGTATAGCCCAACTCTCTCCATAGCTCGCTAAGCAACCTTGAGCTTCCTCATACGGCCAGCAGTAAAGGACCACGTCTCAGCTTCATAGGTCATCACTGGCAACACCCACTGGTTGTACAGTCTCGTTTTCAAGTTTTGAGGTATGTCTGACGAGAAGATGTGCCGTAATTTCCCGAACGCTGCCCAGCCGAGTTGAATCCTTCGAATGATCTCTCGGTCGAAGTTGGACTTACTTAGTCGGACTATTTGTCCTAGGTAAACATACTCGTCAACAACTTCAAGCTTAGTGCTGCCAACAACTACCGGCATGAGTGTGGCAAGGACATTATACTATACAATGTTATAATAATATTATCTTATTATTGCTTTATATCGCAATAATATTATAATATGACCAATGTATTATTTTGTCGATATTTACTAAATTCTTTAGACGTCCAACGATTTTCATTTATTATGCATCATTAGTGTTCATACGATCAATATAAAATAGGGGAAATACGTGACGTACCGTTACCGCTGTTCTTGTATCTGGTAAAAGTAATTTCAGTAAGAACCATAGAGCCATTAGTCGGTGACGCTGCTCCAGTGCGTCTGGATGCACTTAGTACGTTTTAGAAAGATTTTTTAAATCTCAGACATGCAGGTTTCCTCAAACGTCGTGCCGAATTGACATCCACATCAGATCATGAGAGTGAGGGAATAAAGTGCACCCGACACCTGTGCTTGCGCAAACAATCGTACACTATAATTCATAATCCTTCATACGAGCCATGCCACAGCTATATTACTGGTATAGTTGTAGCACGAATGGGTCGGCTCGACCGGGGAAGGACCACGCTCTCGCAGAATACCAGCCTAAAATAGCAGCTTAATGTTGCTGTGTTTCGTATGGTGAGTGTAGAGAACCGGAGACCCTTTTTTTACTGGAAACGAGGCATTCCATCTTAGTTCTCACGGGTGACAACGCATCTGTATTTTGATTCG